GTTTAAATTTTTTGCAACCATTACAATATGGATCGGTCGAAGATGAATCCATGTCAGATATAATAAAAAAAAAGAATATTGAGAAAAAATGCAGATAAGCAAAAAATATATTAATACGAATATTTAATTGTAATAATAAAAGCTATTACAAATCATTTATAATTTCGTAATAAAAAATATTATTTGGAGTAGCATATCTCAGCTATAAAAATCACGTGTTCTAGCTTTTTTTGACGGTTACGCTGGGGAAGATTCCTTGTTATAGTGAACTCTTGATCTAGTGAGAAGGTTATAGAAAGTACTCGTAGGTACAGATTTAGCATCAGCTAATTTAGCACCAACCATGAAAACTATTTAAATACAATTACCAGAGACCCACCTATTGTTAAATCTTATTTTTGAAATTACAAGCCTTCTACAATTATTATATTTTGCGAAATAATTTATCTTCAAATTTTGTAAATCGCAACCTATATTGTGAAGTTGTGTTTCATAATCAAGAATAGAATTTTTATAACTTCTTGCATGCTGTCTCAATAATTACTAAAATTATTGCAATTTATTTGTAATTAAAATGTGGCATTATGGGATCAGAAAAATGATACTTCGGCATCGGGAATTTTTGCAACAACGCTTTTGAAGCTAGAAATGATGCTAGTGCGATTTTTTACTTGTACAATGTTACGCTCTAAACTTTTGCCTATGACTTATAAAGATATGCATTTATAAGAAGATATAATTTGGTCCAAGTTCGAACTTTAATAAATTATTCTAGGATTGATATCTTTTTTTTATATTGATAAAATAGCGCATATTTATGAAATTCATGGCACTTATGATGGGTTGACTTTAAAATAGAGTCATATAAAATATCCATATGTGAAGTTTAAACACAAAAAATCACGTTTTACTCTGCCTTAGCCATAAACCAATCGAGTTGAAGAATTTGTGTATAAGCATCACAAAAATGCCGTATGGACAATTACCATTTAGTAATATAAATTTTATAGACCCTCAATAAATTCAACAAAGAATCTGATTAGTCAGTTTGATCAAGCAGACAAATCAAATTCTTTGTTAATTCCATTGAAGATGGTGCTTGAGAACGCCATAATCTTATAAAAACCATTTGAATGTCACCAAGATTTGTGCAAATCTTTAACATTCATAGAGAATCTAAGTATCGAAAAAAAAGTGCTTTCCGATTTAAATAAAGCATTGGAAATAGCGCAAAGTGAAGTACTTTCATTTAGTTCCTGTGATGTTTTATATGAACAATTAGGTCAATATGAAAAATCACTCATAAATTTAATAAAATATTAGAAAGCGATTCAACTAATCAATTTGCACTTTAACATCACACATGTATTTATTATTTATTAAAGCAATATTAAGAGGCACTTGTAAATTATAATATATTACTTAAAATTGATCCAAATTATGTAATAACACTCAATAACCATTGATATGCTTATGCCAAGCTAAGTCAGTAAGAAGAATCGCTTGCAAATTTTAACAGAGCATTAGAAATTGATCCAAATGATATATTTTCGATTAGGAATTATGGTGTTGTCTATTAAATTTAGAATGGTATAATGAATTACTTTCTGATCTTAACATGTTGTTAGAAATTGAACCAAATAACATTGATTCACATTGTAACCTCAGAATTACTTATAAAAAATTAGACAAATATAAAGAAGCAATTATAGATTTTAGTAATGCATTGAAGATTGATCCTAATGATACAATTTTACTTCAGCATCATGCTGAGAGTTATCTATTATTAAACTTTTATAATGAGTCACTCAATGATGTGTGTGCACTTAAAATTCGTAGAGAAATTTTTGAAAAATTAAGATGATATAAAGAACACTCACAGATCTTGATAAAGTGTTGAAATCGATCAAGATGATGTATTTGCGCTTTGCAAGCATGGAGAAGTTTATAAACATCTAGGACACCATAATAAATCAATCATAGATTTCAATAGAATTTTGAAAATAATCCAGATAATGGTAATGCATATGATTTATTAGAACTGTATGAAAATTGCTTGAAGATTTGAATAAAATCCAAATTGGATATTCGCGCTTAGTACCCAGTACTTCCATATACATTAAATACGGTCAGTATGAAGAATCGCTTGCAAATTTAATAGAGCGTTAGAAATTGATCAAAATAATGGCTTTGCACTTAAAAACTGGGACAAATTTATGAAAGATTTGGCCGATACGAAGTTTCACTTGCAGATCTTAGTAAATTTTTAGAAAGTGAGCCAATGACATATCTGCCCTTAATAGCTACGGTTCTATCTTTATAACATTTGGTAGATACGAAGAATCACTTGAAGATTTTATAAAGTTCTAGAAACTGAGTCGAATAATTCATTTACACTCAGTGAACGTGGTCGTGTTTATCAAATGTGTTATCTTAATATGAAGAATCCATCCAGATCTTAATAACACATTAAAAATTGATAAAAAACAATGAATTTGTACTTATGGATCATAGTATTCCTTACAACTCTGCTTCAATTCTACCTATATTCGAATTTGGATCTCTTACTAATACACTTCAAACTATTGCCAACTCTAATACTCAACTTTCTGAAATTACTTTTTATACAGATGGCTCTGT